ATTTAATAGTTATAAGCCCGACCGTCTTAGACTAGACTAAAGATCTTAACCTCCGACTAACGGCCTTAACTTTAACTAATTAGATCGTACGATTTATAGAGTTCTATTAGTTTAGCCCCTCTTATCGGTTATATTCCTTTAATTATATATCTTCTATCTTATTTACTTAACTAATTTATTCTATCCTATCTTTTTAATTAATTCCTATCTACTATTTACTACTATATTAGAAACTAACTAGCTAGTCTTCTAGCTAAGGACCTTAGCCGATTAGATTTAGTAGTATATAGCGGTTAAAGACTAAGTAATTGTCAGCCTATGTGGGTGTGTGGGGGTATATGCTTATGTGTGTGTGCTTATGTGTTGCCTGAGGGCCCGGCAGCCTGCCGGGCCGGACCATTGTTTTTCCCCTGCAGAAAGCCCCTCTATATGCATCTCTTCAACAGAGATATCGACCATGGCCTAATTGGCTATTTGACTAAGGATCCCGACGTCCTTTCTACACATTTCTATCCTGCATTAAGATCTATCAGATTATTAGATCTCTGCCCTATTTCCTTGCTGCCTAAACCACTGCAAATCGTGTATTTAAACGCTCGTTTACACCACTGTTTAGCCAGCAGTTCAATCGACTTTATTGTTCTCAAGACATTCTTTCCTTTCCTAGACAGTAGGATCCTATGACCAAGAGGAAGCTACTGCCTAGTCCCCTTTCGTCCTATGTGGATCAGCCCCCGATACACTAGGATCTGTCATATAGTGTACTATATAATCCCTAGTCTTTAATAAGATATTTATAAAGTTAAAGAAAGGCTTAGTAACTAATAGAAGGTACTTAACCTAGCGCTACTCCTCTTTATTAAGCTTAAAATAAGTATATTGATTTATAGTATAATACTTATTAAAGTAGGATTAAAGCTTTCGCGCGCGGGTAAGTATTAAGAAGGTTAAGTTCTAGCGTGTACGGATATCCTAAATTAGAACTATTTTCGGCTCCTTTTTTTAGAGTCCTAGGAATAACTCGCGGCGCTATAGGCTTATATTAATAAATACCGTAAACCCTCGGACCTATAGTAATATTTAGTACTATTTATTAAAGAAGGAAGAGGTTTAGAGGAAGGATACTTTACCTTTTTAAGAGTATTTATAAGTGAATTAGTAGAGGATTTTACCTAGAGTTCTAGAGTTTACTTATTTAATTACTCTAATTTAGCTTTATTATTCTTAGGTACTACCCTTAGCTTCCTAAGAAGCTCCTATAGACTAAGCTAGATAATATAAGTAATATAGGGGACTCGAAAGATCGAGGTACTAGATTAAAGAAGGGACTAGACTATCTCGTGAATACTAGTTATTATAGTATTATTATTCGTAGTATTATTAGTGGTAATCGATAGAACTCGGTTAGTAATCTTATAGTGTTATAGAATCTAAATAATAGTATTACTTAGATTACTACTAGTATAAGATCTATAGAGATACTCGAACCTAAGTAGTACTTTATAATAGTTCTAATCTTAATTAATAAAGTAACTAGTAAGTGCTATAAATACTTAGTTAAATAGAGATATCTAGTAATCTAGTATAATTAAGATCCGGTATCTATCCGGGAGCTTATCGAGTATCTTTTACTATTAGTCTTATACTAATATATCTAGTAGTCGTCGGATAGTCCGGGTAGAGGGAATATTTAGCTTTAAGTCTATAGTTCGAGTATAGTCTAGAAGACTTATAAAACTAGTATACTCGATAATCCGAAATAGGAGCCGCGTTATTATTATAAACTTAAGAATCTTTTATTAAAAGATAGACTAATCGAAGGAAGATATCTAAGTATACGGCTAAAGAGAGTTAAAATATAAATAAGGCTTCTTAATTATTAGGGAAAGACTAACTATATCCCGTAGTAGTTAATTAATACCCTACTTCTTTAGGACGGGAGGCTTCGTATATATAATACTTTTTATATATATCTTTATTAGAGACGTCCCGGCCCGACGATAACTTAGATAGATAAGAATAGCCTAATAGCGCCTATATATAACCTTAGGCTCACTAGTCTTCTTATATATAACTTAATTAAAGTAGTCCTAAATATCGGAAGTCTTTTACTTACTTTCCTATTAAATTAACTTCTATAAGTCCTTCTTCTCACTAAATTCTATCTTTAACCACTACTCGATAAACTTCTTCCGGGAACTCTCTATATTAGGATAAGTCGGGTTATTATTAAAAAGGATATAATACTTTTAAAGATACTTTCTAACCCGACGAAGGGATTCCGGCGCGCGAATAGTACGGTGTCGTATAGGGGGTAGAGAATAATCGGAAAGAGGAGTTAAAGTACCACCTTCTTAGCTTAGGAAGTTAAGAAAGTCGTCTAGTTATAAGATATCTAGATTAATAAAGGACTTAGTATATTAGGATACTAGGTATTAACTATTAGAATATTAGGATTAAGACATAGTCGTGAGATAAGGAAGTAAGTAAGGTATATAGTATAACTAATAAAACGAGAAAGAAGAATTTAAGTACTTACTAAAGTAACCTAGCGAGGGAGATTAGGGGGCTATTTATAGTATAGCTTACGCGACCGTAACTTAGAAGCGACTAGAAGATAAAGAAGCGATATATCATATTCCCTATATTATTCTAGTAAAGGCCTAATAGGATAAAACAGTTTAGCACCCTATTAAAATCTCTAATTAGCTTAGGAGATTCATACGGATATTCATTAGATTATTATTAGATATTCAATAGATATCCAAGAAATAACTAATTACCATCTAATAAATATCCGCATAAGCGTAAGTTCAAAATCTCAAAGTCCGATAATTCCAGCTAACGTAAGGCTTTTTCTTAATATCTTTATAAGGTAACCTACTAATTAAATTATATTTTCTGATTTCTTAGTCTATAAGTATTATATAATAAACACAAAGAAGTAGGAATACTATAGATTTATAGTTTTCGTCTTTTCAACACCGTTTTCTATAGAAAATAGACCACCTCCCGGTACCCGAGTTAAATATTTTCACTAACCACCAAAATAACAAGAACCACTACTTTAATAAATGAAAATTACTAATAGTCACAATACAATAGGCTATAGGAATTAAGCCGCTATAGGTAGGATTAGAAAATAGGATACTTAGTTAGATTTAATATTATTTCATATTATTTCAGTAATTAAATCATACTAAAACAGCATTTATATCGCCAATAACAATAACATACTAATACATCTATAATATAGAGAAAAAAGGAGTGCGTAGTTAGCTACATAAGAGTCACATGGGATACTGAAACAGGTTAAGTTAGCGAATTTTATGCTAGTGCGGATTTCTAATGGATTTTGCGGACATCCAACGGATATCCGTGGATGTCCAATAGTTAGATGCGGATACTAAGGTGATATCCAACATCCGCAATTTGCGGATGCGGATATCAATTTGACATCCAACGGAGCGGATTTGCCGCAGCCTAACCTGAGTCATGACTCAGCTATCCAGACAAATATAAAATACTATACAATTGCAAGACCGGATCAAATCTGACCCAATAGTGAATACAATATTGTTACCATAGAAGTGTAACCCCCATCCCGGTGACATGAAATGCCCTACGTGATGAAATGCCCACCAGGTACATGCACATTCGAGCATCATCACTCCCCACCCACTCATTGAGATATTACCTGAGAGCAGCAGGAATGACGATTATTACATGTCTTATTTGAAAGCTCTCCTAAAACAAAAATTACGAAATGTAAGAGTGGCAGATTACAGGACGACAAGCACTACTACAATTCCGCTGTCGTCTAGTTTGACGCCAAGATCATCCACAAAAACGTCTGAGACGGGTAGGAAAAATATAACTATATTGTTCCACTACGTAGTTACCTACATTATCCTTTTCTCTCATCTGGACCATGTTACCTGAGAATATACCAAGCTTCGTGGACATGTTAGCGGCAGAAGGGTACATAACACAAAAGTACCGACAAAGCGAATACACAGGAAGAAAACAGATCATGTAACTTAGTGTATGAAAAACACTAGCGCAGCTAAACGGAACAGGCGCCCCACAACCTGTGTGGGACGAGATGGCCTGAAGGAAACAAAATTCAAGAAGTTACTTCAGCACCATACTGTATCCAACTATGAGGTCTATGGTGTTACCGGGAGAGTATCTCGAGATGGATATCCTATCTCCAATAGGCTAGCTACTATCCCGGTTGCGAAATATACCGGTTTGGGCTCATAAAGCCCCTCCACGTTTCTCCTCTTGATCCAGGAGGACAAAAGAAGATCAGGACTAGTTACAGCACACTTGGGCATGTTCAGCCCCAAGCACCTTTTCTCCTCCTTCGTCTAGGGCTCGTCGATGCATCGCTTCCGCCTCTTCACTTTTCCCCTGTCTGGAGAGCACCACGCCAAGATTACTGACACTGATGAGAGTGTCAGGATGCTTGGGCCCAAGCACCTTCTCTCGCGCTTTCATTGCCCGTCGATGCATCGCTTCCGCCTCTCGGCATTTCCCTTGCCTAGAGAGCATCACGCCAAGATTACTGACACTGATGAGCGTGTCGGGATGCTCACATCCAAGTACCTTCTCACTCCCTTTTAACGCTCGTCGATGCATCACCTCCCCTGCTTCATACTTCCCTTGACTGTCAAGCACTAAGGCAAGATTACTGACACTGATAAGTGTGTCGGGATGCTCTTGTCCAAGCACCTTCTCACTCCCTTGTACCGCCCGGCGGTGCATCGCTTCAGCCTCTCGATATTTTCCTTGCCTGGACAGCAGTGATCCAAGGTTACTGACACTGGTGAGCGTGTCAGGATGCTCATATCCAACCACATTCTCACTGCCTTTTAACGCTCGTCGATATAATGCTTCCGTGTCTTCGTATTGGCCTTGATTTTCAAGAACATTGCCTAGGTTATTGACGCTGGTGAGGGTACTAGGATGCTCATATCCAAGCACTTTCTCTCGTGCTTTCAACGCCCGTCGATGCATCACTTCCGCCTCTTCGAATTTCCCTTGGCTGCCAAGCAGTAAGGCATAATTACTAACACTGGAGAGCGTGTCAGGATGCTCACATCCAAGAACTTTTTCTCGTGCTTCCAGCGCCCGTCGATGCATCGCCTCCGCCCCTTCCTGTTTCATTTGGCTAAAGAGCACCGAGCCGAGGTTATCAACGCAGGTGAGTGTGTCGGGATGCTCATGTCCAAGTGTCTTCTCATTTCCTTCCAATGCCCGTCGATGCATCGCTTCCGCCTCTTCATATCTCCCTTGCCTGTCAAGCACGACAGCAAGATTATTGACACTGGCGAGCGTCTCAGGATGCTCGCGTCCAAGTGTCTTCTCTCTTCCTTCCAACGCCCGTCGATGCATCACTTCCGCCTCTTCAAATTCCCCTTGGCTGTCGAGTACTAAGGCAAGATTACTGACACTGTTGAGTGTGTGAGGATGCTTACATCCAAGAACTTTCTCCCAAGCTTCAAGCGCCTGTCGATGCATCGCTTCCGCCTCTTGATATTTCCCTTGTCCAGAGAGCACTGAGGCAAGGCCATTGATACTAGTGAGAGTACTAGGATGCTCGCGCCCAAGTGTCTTTTCTCGTCCTTTCAATGCCCGTCGATGCATTGCTTCCGCCTCTTCATATTTGCCTTGGCTGTCAAGCACGACAGCAAGATTATTGACACTGGCGAGCACCTCGGGATGCTCGTGTCCTAGTACCTTTTCTCTTCCTTCCACTGCCTGTCGATGCATTTCTTCGGCGTCTTCATATTTTCCTCTAAGTAGTAAATACCATCCGCAATTAAAGGAGATAGTCGCTATGTGCAGTCGGTCCTGTTCCTGCCCGTTAGATACCCACTTCATCACCTCTTTTGCATGCGGAAACAGTCTTTGGCATTCAGTCCAGCTCTCGTACTGTCCATCGGGAAATAATTGTGCTATGATCACCCGGGACCGTTTCTGCCATAGTACTAGCTCGTGGCGAAAACTCAGCCATGTCCGGACCGATAACTGTACGATTCGGTGCATATCAAATGACGCTGTCTCAATATTAACACGAATAAGACAATAGCTGATCAACGGCGCCACTGAATCTTCAAAATGGAGCCCATCCCTATCGGTACGGATAAGGCTTTCGGGAATCCCCTGCCGATCAAACATGCTTATTAATGCTAGTAAATCCGTCGCCGCCGGCCGGTCTCGACGAATTTGCTCGAAGGATAGCTGCCATGTGGTAATGACCGTATGCCGAATACTGGGGTCCCGCCGGAGGTCTTTAGCGTCCTTATGCTGAAGAAGATGGGTCTGGTTCGACTCGCCCTCACGGAATAACTGAAGGTACCGGGAGACAGTAACCCGAGGCGATCGATTCGTAATATAGGACGCCGCCTGGGTGACTGCTAACGGAATATATTCTAGGGCCCGTACTAGTCTCTTCTCGTCCTGTCTAGTCCCTCCAGGGTTGGGGGACGGAATTCTTGCTCGCAATAGGGCGAGGGACTCTTCCTTATTTATTGGCTGAACTGTGATCACATGACTATCGCTCCCTACTAGATTCCGCGCCGCGAGGCCGTTTCGCGATGTGATCAGAATTGATCTATGCTCGGCCTGGGGTAGGAAGCTTACTAGTGGCCCTCGGTTATTGGATGTATTGCCACTGAAAAAGATAGTATCTTTATCCGTATTATCGAGCACTATCAGCCAGCGCCTATTTCGTGAATCACATAACTAACGAGACACGAGCTGGAGGATGTTCGTCTTCGGATCGTCCCGCCCTAGAATCTCCGTAACCGTAGCAATCTGCTGGTAGCCCTGTTCGAACCGCGCCGTATTGCTGGCGTGAATCTAAAATACCCATTGGTTTGGTGTCAATTCTCGTACGCGATAGGAATACTTAATGGCTGTCTGAGTTTTTCTAATAGGTAGTGAGATGAGTTTAGTCGCAATTAGAAAGGCATAAGGATAGCTAACCTAACGCCGGCTAACCCTACTAATGCCACCCGCTTATGACGCTGACCGATCGCCCTATGTCTTTCCTTGATTACTGTGATAATAGCTTCACGTCCCACAAACATGGGATCCTTCTTGAAAGGCACTGTGGAGTACGGTTAGGGCTTCGGACGCGACTGCGCTGTAAACAGTTCCCGTTAGCTAGAAAACTGAACCTAGAGTAAGTTACTTACTAAACCGACCCGCCACGATTGATGGCGCGTCTTTCGAAAATTGTTGGAGTCTATCGCGCACCGATTGATACCCGGCCGCGTCGCGCTTATCGAATTTTACGATTATTGAGTGATCCGTATGTAGCGGCACCTTGTCCTCTTCGTGGTCGGGGAGCTGGAGAAGAGCCGAGTCTGCGCTAACCGTCGTCACAAATTCCCTAGTGCGTTTCTATCGTCCGCTTTCCGGGTCCTGTTGCGCTCGTTAATATCTGTTATAGCCTGTTTTAGGTAAAGCCTACACGTACTAATACCAACCGCCTTGTCTGCTCTGTCTTATAGAAACTGACCACCTTGCGGTCTCGGATTAGATTTTTAAAGTCGGCTAGCTACTGGATAAGGAGATCCGATTTACTGGAGATCTGCTGTAGTAACTGCTCTCGCGGGTGGCCCTTATCCCATGCTAGTATCTGCTGAATATCGTCTATCACTAATCCTTTATATAGGATGGCAAAGAGGATCATGCCGTACGTGGCTCGATGTAGTGACGTGATCGCCGGGTGGTCTTCCTCCATCGTCTAGATAGCCCTCACTAGGCACTATGAGTTAATGTTAGTATATAATACATAATACCTAAAATCGGTTGGTGGTCCCACGTGAGCCAAGATAATCCCTCCAAAACTGTGTGCGATAAAAATCAGAGGTCTCTGCTGGAGCTGGTCACAGAGTCAGCCCAAAATTGCTACCCCTGGACTAGTCAGACAGCAGACCCTACCTTCTTCGTAGTCCGAATCTTCTTGATCTCCTCCATTAGCTCCCGCCCGTAGTCGAGGACCGTATCGACTCCGCGGCTTAATAGCTTCGAGTTGTATCCGTAGATCATAGTGCGGCACTGCGGAAGATCTTTCGACAGGAAGTCTCGAAGCTACATCCGACCGAGATTTCCCCTGCCCTGCCACGATCCATACGTATGTCCATCAAGTCCGGCAATCGCAATGATGCTATTTTGCGTTGTTAGTTAGTATTCATATTCTCGATGGAGATATCGGTACAGATCCTTACTCGGCAACCACTGGCTCACTGGCGTCCGGCGCGTAGAGCTGCGTGAATCCGAAGAAGTGGTAGTTAAAGTTGATGTCATTGTCTCCTATCTCAACCTGCCAGTTGCCAAGAGGGTCGAGTCTTAGCTCACCGAGGAACTGAGGCACCCTACCGCGAAACTGCACTAGCGCCACCCGCTGTGTGTCAGTTTCATAGCATGAAGGCACGATTGTGATCTCGGCCTTGATCTGCGATCTCTCGTCGTGGGTAAAGTTGTCGTCGAGTACCTCTTGTAATGCGGTCTTGAGATCCCCATCGGGCCGTTCCCTCGATAGGCCTGTCACTCGAAAAATGTGCGACTTTCTTTGGCTAGCCATCGTAGTTTGCTTTTAATAAAGTGGTACATTAGATGAGAGTAAACTGTGAGTCGTTTGTTGACGATGGTCAGCTCAGGCTTACCGTGAGGCTGAATCCACTAATAGGTGCGGGGTATCAAGGAGCGAGCATGCACCTACAGTCACTTCTGCTATCAAATCCTTTTACTATCACTGATCTACAGAGAGATAAGTTCACAGCTATATATAATCCAGTCTATCACTTGAACCTAAAGGGGGTTTTCTTATTTTTTACAGAAGCTGATCATAATGAAACTCATAGAAATCCTTCCCGAATATCACCGTTATTCAAGTTACTTTTGCCAAATGAGAGCTGCGCGTAGCGGGATCACATTATTCCGGCCGTGGAGACGATCTCGCGCGTCCACTGAGCGCCTTCGCAATACCCTGGAAGCCGAAGCAAATTTGAGGACTCGCTAGAGCGGAAGTGCTTGGTTTATCTGGATTATATATTGCTAATTACTATTAGATCTAACCACAAAAACTCTGTCGAGCCCTGGCCAGTCCGAGTGTTAGATTCACCGTCGAGGGGGGTCTCAGGCTGGATTCTTTGTTTGCTATCCGCACGGTACTTTGTAGAGCAAACAAAGAGAGCGCCGAACTCAAGGAGGGAAAGCCCCTTCTTAAACATTGCCACTCATTCCCTAAGATCCTCACTTACTCTCCCAGAAGTTTTTTTCGCCCCTGGCCTAGTCTTGTCGAAGCCTTCAGCGTGTGGTCCACTGGCCTATCCGCAATGTCGAAGAACAAGTTTCGCAGACTCTTGCCTGCGAAGGAAAAGGAGGAGATAGAACCTGTTGTTACAGAGGCAAAGAAAGAAACTCGGCGCAACATCTCTCTTGCTTGTACAGAGTGCCAGAAAAAGAAGACCAAGGTCACAATCTCAGTTGTTCCCAGGTTGGAGGACAGAGCTAATGTACTATTTATTATACAGTGCTCTGGAACGCAATACCTTACCAGCAGATACCTTGGGGTCACTGGCGCCGATTTCATTGTTCTCTCTATCTTCATGTGGACGGCCGTCACGTGCCTATCCTTGTCGGCAGCGTACCACACTCTGATGAACCACCCTCAACACCTATAATATCTCTGCCTGCGATTGGACATGCTGGGTATAGTGATCTTCATAGTGGGTGACCTTATCTTGGGCATATACCTGCTTTTCTGGTGTGAACATTTGCTACGCAATATCTACTGGTGTATGGTTAGTTGATCTCCTGTGCATAGTTTAGTATTTCCTCTTCTTAGACTGGTTTTAAATCTAAGCCTCTTCTTCCCTCGGTTAATAGAATGGAGCTTTCGGGATATTGGCTATTATTATGATAATGCGTCCTAAATTCTAGGGTTCAAAGTATCGCCTCTTACGAGTATTGATGCTCGTGGCGGCTGGCGTATCTAGTATTGCGCCCTTGATCTATAGACTCTATATATTCGGTATGTCGCCGATAATAAGAAAGGCTTTGCTTATACTTTGGCAAAAGTAGGCTTTCTTCTATCCGGGACTTTTTTTTATATAGTAAGTCTCCCAATTTCATACACAACAGAGAGATTAACCTTAATTAAAGTGGTTCTGAAGATCAGATTCCCCGAAAGTCGATATCCCGGCTAATTTGACTTATTAGGTTCCTATTCAATCTTTCACTTACTAGTAGTATATACCGCCGTGGTCTAGTTAATAGGGTATCTAGATGCCTTCGACTTTACGTAGGTGAATCTTTTTTGCTCGTCTCTTTATGAATCATTTTCCGAGATTAGATCTAATTAAGTATTATTAAGATCGGAGATCGTGAGCGGATTCACGCATAATACGAGTAAAACTGGCTTAAGGTAGTAAAGCTGCTATCTGTAGATTGTCTCCGCCCGCCTATGACCGAACAAACGTATAAGAATTATATTTTTGTTACTCTTTAAGAAAATTATCGTTTTAAAGTTCGTGGGGACTTTCCCTCACTTTAGATCTAATAGGTAAATGAGGTACTGAAATGCCCTAAGGGTTATAGGATAATAAGATCAAGAACTTATCCGTCCGGGCGGATATACTATACGATGTACACTCTGAGTGTAGATAACCACTATTCACTTAGTAGAGGTGGATAGGGACTTTTGACTACACGATGTAACTTTATTACTTCGGTCTATAGGCCTAACTTTTAAGCTATTTAATTGCGATGTTTATTAATCCTTTTATAGAGATGTTGGGTAGTTATATAATAGGCGCCCTCGGCAAAGGCAATAATACCCCGTGAGTCGTTAGATTAAGGGTGTGGGTACCGGGGATATAAATTTCGTTCCACCAAAGGTTCTTATTTCATAAATATATATAACTCTCTACTAACCCATAACCTAGGTTCCCATACCCCTATTTACCCTATCGACTTATGCGACGAAAAGCTTAACTATCGTAGTAACCATAACGTCAGTCTAGCCGCCCCCCTTCTTTTAACCTTACACCACCCGAGTAGATATCTATGCTTACCCTTCCCCCCGCCGCTACGCTTAATCTATAACTTTTTTTGCTTTGAATTTCATGTTCCTTCTAAATATATATAACCTCGCAGAGATAAAATACTAGCACGGACACCTAATTTGATTTAGTAGGACCGATTAGCTATCGGATGATACGACTGTATAAAGTCCTAAAATAATTAAGTTATATAAAAAGATATTACGATAGATAGACTATCCTTTCGTAGAGGGCGTCGTTCTTACGGAGTTAAATTAGGCTCCCCCCCGGGTGGATCCTGAAGGCTAGCGAGGCATAGATAGGTATAGTAACGCGTACCGTTACTTACGTACTATCCCATTAGGCTAAATGGTCTAGTATAAAGTGCTTTATGGAAGCACTTTTTACTATAACGGTATATATAGATAGGGTCTCCCGAGGGCCTCCGGGATTATATAGGTCCTTAGCATAGCTAGTCTAGATAGGATGCGTAATAGGGACGGATTCATCTTTACCAGTTAGTTCTCTTCGTTCTTTCTAACCCCTATTGTGAAGCTCGCTATTATAGCCTAATAACTTAAGAAATTATCTGTACTGAGGTAAGCTTCTGTAGTATTCTCGATAGCTAAGTTTTTCTCTATAAGTATCCTATACCGAAGTGTTAAAAATTGCCAATTTTGATAATTGTATATTCCTCCCGACCTCTAGTTCTCCTCGATACCGAATATCCTCTATATTTACTTTAACGTCCTCACTATCTCAAAACCCCTTTTAAATTAAATTAAATAAATCGATAGATATCTATTGTACTTAATAGTCACACCGTCTATAGTACCCGCACTCTTTATCATAAGCTGTGAGTTCTTTTAGGGGCTGGAGTCATAACCATAATCGTAAACCTTATATTATAGGTAATAATTATTACTAGGACTTAACTATACCGAAGGCTCCTCGTTAGACTACCTTAGTTAGTAGGTATTATATAACGGTTCTAATATAATATATTACCTCTTCACTAGGGACATTTTGGATCACGCTATCTTAGTGACTCTAGTTATCTCTATCTTTCTTATTCCTACGTAAAGATTCTTCGAGAAAATCTACACTAGGAAAAGAATCTAAGACACGCCGGATATGATAACCGTACTTTGATACCTAATCAACCTCGCTACCTAAATTAAGAGCCCTAGTTATAACTTACTAGAGCGATCCGAGTCGAACGGATACTACCCTCACGACTTAAGGCGATACGACCGACCCTATTAACCGACTTTATCCTAAACGTATAGTCCCTTAGGTTAACCTCCCCTAACTCTAAGAGTAAGCCTAGAGGAAATTCGATATAGCTGCCTTTACCTCGCGCCCGCTCTTCCCTTCTGATATCTAAATAGATTATTTCGAATATCTAGAATAAGCCGATTTATTCTGAAGCGTCCCTTCGCGATTTTAAGCGAGATACGGTAGATAATTTTGTTAAAGTGGTTATTAAGGCGTTACGAGATAATGAAGTCCTTCGATATAAGTTTAGAATCTAGGGCTAGGTCACCTTTTACGACCGCGCTAACCTATTAGAAACTTCGCTAAAGAGTAGCTTAGAGTAAATGAATCCTTAGAACTTACGAACACCCTAGTAACTTAAGAATACTAGGCCTAGGAGAGTTAAAGGAAGGGGAGGAGGAGCGGCGTAGGGGAAGAAGAGGGATAGCGCTATACGAAGACGTAATCGTCGTGCCGACTAGTTCTGTGTGTACCTTATGGCTAATAAATAATAAGTACTAGTATATACGGTAGAGTTTAAAGCGCCGCACTAATCCCCGAGCTAGTAGCGGGTTTATATTAGATAGATTTAGCTCGCGATATCATTAATTAGGAAGGCGACACGTTTGAGTTCTATACTACCCGCCTCGTCCTCGTCGCCGCCGTAGTTACTTAGATATTTCCATATATGATCGACTATAGAATTCGACACGGCTACATCTATATAGGGGAGGCATTTGTTTTCCTCTATATCCTAAAGGAGGATCCTATAGTTATTCAATATTTTTTGTGTATCCTAAATCAAGACGTATAGGCTGACGATGAATGGCGCCTCCACCGGACCGCTCTAAGTTAGGTGCTTACGTTCTCCCTTTAAGAATTAACCGCCGGAGCTCCGTCTTAAGAGTGGCACGATATAGCACATAATAAGCTCACCACCTAGGAGGTTAAATATCTAGACGTATTAAGAGAAATCCCCGAAACTCTCCGTAATAACCCGCCGGCCTCGAAATATCGGCCCTCGTACTAGAAACGAGATCGAAAAATACATAACATACGCTCTCGCGCTCGTTATTAATCAGGCGTATCTACACCAAAGCACTCATCGGCTATAAGCAGCGGCAGCGATTAAGAAACACGTTTACCATCCACCGTAGCAGCCTCGCGTAGCCGACCGAGCCGCGGCCGAGGTAATAACCGTTAATCGACTAGGGGAAGCGAAAGGACACGAGCCGACCGGGATAATAAACAGTCTTCTCGAAAAGACGGGTATTCTACACGACCATACTACACTATTACCTACATCCGCGGTATAGTCGATCGAGAACCTCTAGATAAAAATTGCCCTAACTAGAAATTCCACGGTAGTTAGAGACACCCTATAGGGCCGTAGGAGTTTATACGCCGGCTTTACCGCTAACTTATCCGAGATCGAGACCTAGGCTTCGAATAATTATATATCTATAGTCGGGCGGGCTACCTTATAAAAGTGACCCTTCTTTCACACGGATATAGTACACTATAGTCATTAAAGCTACTTCTATGAAGAAGTAGCATCGCCTTTAAATAGAAGCGGATAATTATTATCGCCTCGGGAGCTTATAGGGATAATATATCCCTATTTACCTTAGGGTCTTTAAGCCCTATGTTATATACTAGTATTACGGCGAGTCTATAGCCTAGATAATAGTCTTAAGCTAGTCTGTAATATAGCTTTAACGTGTTATCAGTAATAATAAATCCAGCTTCTTTTATCGGGAGCGCGAGAAAGCCTTAGCTATACTCTAGTCACGTAGAGTTATCTATAGTAATAGTAAGTGGCGTAATATGTTATGGGATGACCTAGGTAACTAATTGATTGTCATTAACTTAGAGGAGGTGAAATAGTTAAAGCGCCCTCGTGCCTTTACACTAACGTTAGGAAATACACGGTATGGTTATCGCGTAAAAGCGGGAAAATCCGGAGAAAGACTACTCTCTAGCTCTACCGCTATCTATATATAATACCCGATGTATAGCCTATAGTTACGCCTTATTTAAGTCCATTAATATTCGCATATTCTAATAACGAGGTAAAGTATACTCTGAATTTGTTGCCGCTAAATAGGTTACCTATATATATAAATATAAGTTATAATACAGATAAGCGGTTAAACGTTCTACTACTAATCATAAAACTAGTTTAAGGAGCCCCGAGGCTATCGTGTATCGCTTAAAATATATAATATAAGCTCTTAAAAGACTATTTAATTAGCGATGTTAGATATATATTCCCTTAATATAACTTTCTTAATCCGGCTTCTCCCTATGATTCACGTTTTATTTATCACCGGCCCCCTACTTCTTCCCTCCTCTCTTCTTAATATTTTACTTCGCCACCTAGCTCTCTACACTAGAAATAGTATTATAGGGCGACTTCTTCCGCCCTAAAAGAAATAATAAAACTTCTACTAGGCTAGATACTTACTCGGATATCTTACTAGTAAACTCACGAGTAAGC